GATCTTAAAATTGAAACGGCCAAACCGTTATCTTCAGAGCCAACTTATGAATTGTTGTTATTAAAACTTCAAAGAGCTTTCAAACGGCTACTCAATATAAAAGATTTCCGATGGAGGAGTAAAAAGCTCGTCATCGTCGCTCAAGAAATACTGTCTTTACAGTGTTTCATTCGGTGATTATGTTTTTTTTAAATTGGCAATGATAGTTTTAGAGCGAGCTCGAGTGGAGGAGAAAACAGAACCCATCTAGAAACATCTCTACATCAATAATTACCGATGATATAACAACTACATTTATCTTTTGACAGTTTCTGCGTCTGACTTTATGCAAATGAATGGTGTGGTATGAATCTCCTCCGGCATGAAAACCCATCCGAGCCTTATTAATGCAGGGGCCGATTGTATAAGCGAGTGCATACCCCTTCTTAGATGTCCCAAAATTTCATTTACATATAGTTCTTTGTTAGAAGCAGCAAGACCTCTTTGACACCTTAACCGGGTCCAGTGAGTTACAGAATAAGTAAATCCCTCTTGACAAACCAACATTCTGAGAAAGACAATATGGCCACGCGCGATTCAGTTGAAGCCCCTCGTGAAGAGGTGAGGGGAATGAATACTTTGCCAAATCTCTTATGTGTTGCAATTGCATTAAGATTGGCTAAATATTCATTGTTTCTCTAGAAAAAGCAAATGATTTGCATGCATAATATCAACCATTGTGACGGACCTAGAAGGGAAATCCCTGATGAAATAACTTGTATTCGCCTATAGCAACGCAAGAACCTAAAAGGTAAAAACATCTTTTATATCTTCATATAAATACCACAGCATGCTCCTTTTGCTAAAATCGGCTTAGTTCTTGTATACACATTGATAATGATAATAGGTAGGGACTAAAGCTAAAAGGGTAGACCGTTATTAAAACATTATGATTTCCCAACGGAGTGGATTCTGCAAAAAAACCGTTACGCAAGTTGAATGAAACTGATTAACAAGTTTTAGAACAAGAAAGATTCACATTTTATCGTGGAAGCACTCGTCATGCAGACATTGCAAACTTGATTTAAAGCTTTTAGTATAGTTTCGAGCGAATGAAAATAATGTTTCACTTTTCCTTTAAAAATCCTAATTGCCAGAGTCCTGCTTACCCGAATTTTCCATTGTTTCCGCAAAAATATGCAACCACGAACTCCACAAAGCGCACGTAATAAAGCGATGCAGGATTTCGCAACACTTGAAATAGTTCATCCAGAATTGTCTCCAGTCTCTCCCGACATCGAGATTCACAGGGCTGGCTAGCAAATTTTAAAAAACATGAGTAATGAAGCTTTTCTTTTCACAGGTATGATTCGCGAGCCATTGTAGTAAAAGTAAGGAAAATTATACCACTCCTTAGCCTTCGTAAAGAATTAAATGCGCTGGGACAATTGAAATTAAAGCTAATGACACAATACACGATGATAAACGTTGTCCGCTCTTAAGTGTTTCACATCATGTACCAATAGATATCTTAAACTCTGCACTCTCCCTGAAGTTTTACATGAAAAGACAGCTATATCGTTGCAAAAAGAAATAGATATAGTTAAAATAAAAAAAAACTTCTGAAATTTACGTACAGAACATTCTCGCACGCATGATGTGTAACTAAGCATAACAAAATACACTGTAATGAATTAATAGGGATGGAAATCCTGATGGAAGGAAATAACATGCGAACGCATTTGTACCGTGTATCAATAAGCCAGCAACATACGTATCTCAATCAAAGTCTCACCGAGGTCGCTAAAAACCATTTTTGGTTGAAACAGAGAGGAAATAGGGTAGCTGTGCGTACGTGTTCGATGCATGTCTATGAGTGTTATTGAAGTAATCACGGAATAGGGCACAAAAACAAACGGCTAGGTTAGTCAATTAAAGAATGTAATAAATTACGTTGTAGGATGATTCTGTAGTGCGTATATAACAATTGAACAAACAGTCGAGTCCTAGAATTTTTGCTCGTTGAACTGTAAGGGCCAGAAGTCTACACTGAAGGCAATTTTAACACAATATCATGCCTTGGAAGAGTAATATTTAGCACAGTTGTCTTAACGCCTCACTAGTTTAAACATGTTGCGATTTAATGTACTCTCGGGTGATTAAGCAGATATTATCCTTTTGAAACATCTTTCCTTCATTCTAACCTCCATTTACTGCTGCCTAGACAACAGTTGTATAATCTGCCCATAATTCGCAAATGGAATGGTATCCTCGACTATAATATCTGTGGTAAGTCCTCCTCGATTCTTTCACAGACAGATTTTGAATAATGTTAATTAAGCCATGACTCAGACTCAATTTATCAACAGCTAGACGAAGATCGAAATTGCGCTCTGAACATTATCATCAGTGAATGAAGATTTTAGATACATGAAAATTCACATATTTGCACTGCGGTGGAAAGAAGAAATAAGGAGATCATAATTATGGTAGATATATATATAATGGTAGAGCGCTGCACCGGTATCGCAGAGGTCATGGGTTCAAATCCCGTACGGGCCTGAAATTTTTTTCAGGTCCTATTTACAACTACTCGTTTCAGTAGTGTTCTTAGCTGCGAGGATCTCCTAATTTCTTATTATCATCAGTAATACGTACTCAGCACAGATGGGTTAACTGTCTATGTCTTGGGGTGAAAATGCACTCTAAAAAAACTGGGACATAAAAGTTATTTAAAGGATTAAATGATGCGTGAGTTATTCATAAGATTCTGGGTTTTGAAGCAAGCGTAGGCTCGGGGAATTTCATTTTGCATTAAGCCGAGTGCTTACCATTTCTTGATGGTCCAAGAATATCCTTTACGTGATTCTTTTCTACAAGATCGACAAGCCACAGAAGCTCTTTGATATCTCAACTGGGTCCAGTGAGTCAGATCCGTGAAATAGTTTGTGAATATATTAGGAAACTAATTAACTTGCCACTTTTGCGAGGAGCTGTGACTTTGAACCCTCTTGTCTCTTTAGCAAGAGACGATAGTCTATTGAGCATGATTCGCAAGAGATCTAGCCAATAAGATTAGCTAATTGTTCATTATTTCTTAAGTGACAGCAAGTTATTGATATGAATAATTCATGCAAACCCATTGCGACATTCCTTAAAGAAGAATCCCCGAGAAAATAATTTGCATTCATCCATACCTTGCTGTCTTAGTGGCCACAAAGCAGCGTTCGGACCTGAAAGGTAAATAATTACACATTTCATATCTTCATATGAATACGAAAGTATGCTCCTTTCACCATAATAAGCTTATTCTTTAACAAACAGTGATACTCAGTAAAACTGTTGGTACAAAGGAAAGGAAATTTTAAAATGACTTCCCAACGGAGAACCTTTGGACCAACTAGCGATTTTTAGATCAAAAATCAAACACATTCTATCATGGAGGCACTCATAAAGCAGACGTTACTAAGTTAATGTGAAATTATTAGTATTGTTTCGGGCGAAAAAAATAAACAACTCTCTTTTCCTTTTAAAATCCTAGCTAACTGTTAGAGTCTTGCATATCGGTAGTCTCTATTTTTGCCCCAACATTTTAACTATGAACTGTGTAAAGCATACTATCGAGCTTTAACTGTGTGACTTTACAACTATTCCAATTTCAGGCGGTGGGTAAGAGTGAGTGTTATATACGTAGTTGTAAGGGTTTTAATTACACGCTTTAGGTAAGCTCAATTTTTACTCAGGCGCTGTTCTAAAGGAGTTCTGAGTGATAACCACGAAGTTTCACAACTTATGCTTCACTGCTCATATGTGGGTTGCAAGAATTGAGTGGATGGATGTGAACAGACTTTTTGAATGCGATACCATTACACTCATGTCTCTATTTCAAAAGCTTCTCTCGGTCCTTTTTTATACGGCATATGACATTGAGATGTGAAATAAGTGTACAAATCTTAGAAAGACTAAGCTTTGATTTTTACCATCGCGAGCGTCTAAGTACACTCAGACATGTGTCTTGTTATTGCTGTGTTCTACAAAGGCCAAATTACCATCGTCGCATATCCTTGTAGGATTTTGTGCTTTCTGGAACATCTTCCGGTATTTTAATAACAATGCAGGACCCGTGGTCTAGAAAACCACAAAATATCCCAGGCTTGTTAAAATAGGGATGCATCAATGCCGTAACTGAATAGAACAATACAGGAGTGCGTAACAATTGAAATTGTTTCTCTGGAACCATCCTCGGTCTATCCTAACATAAAAATTTCCAATGCTGGCCAGCCAATTTAGGCAAAGCACATTTGAAAAGCTCCGATATAACATAACAGTCAGTCAGTATTAAGGTTTTTCTTTTTTTTGGTGAACCATGTAAGTCTTTAAAACAAAAGTGAGAAACATCATGCCATTTTCCTTGGTTTTTGTGGAGAGAATTAATGCCCTGGAGGCAACTGGAAACTAATTCCACAACATACTGCATAAATTAAGACGTTTTAAGCCCAAGTATTCTGCAACTAGTGTCAATTTAAAAAAAAAAAAAAAAAGCTACGTCGCCATGGATAAAAACTGTAATCGTCATTTGCCGAAATATAAGTACATGGCTCTTCGCACGCAAAATGCGAAACCAAGCATAACACTTTCTTCTGTTTTAATTGTGATGGAAATCCTGATTTCAAGGAATTATTATGTGGAGACATAGTTCTATATGGCGTATTAATAAACCAGTGGAATACGTAGTTTGACTGAAGTCTCATACAAGACTTCAAACAGAGAAGAAATGAGGTAGTCGTGCGTGCGTGTTTCATGCAGGTGTTGTGGAAGTTATCTCGAAAACAGGGCACAAAAACAAATGGCTAGGTCAAACAAAGAATTTAAAAATCATGCTATCAAAAGATTTCGTAGAGCGTAAACAGAACACTTATGTTCTAGAACTCTAAAAGCCAGACGTATGCAATAAAGCTTAGAGAGGGTAATTTGTTTTGTCTACGTACATATATTGATCACTGATAAACAAAAATTTAGAACCGGCAACTTTATCTTCATGTCTCAGTAGTTTTATACAAGGTTAGGTAAAGGGAGCCTCTAGACCAAACCAAGTGTTGAGACTAGATGATTTCTCGTTTTGTAAAGGAGGCATTATACTTTTGAAACATTTTCACCCTCTTTTTAGCGTCCATTTTCCGTAGTCCACACTAATGCTGCGTACGCTGCTTGTAATTTAGAAGTAGAATGGCATCCTGGACTTTAATACCTTTGGTAAGTCTTCCTCTTCTTCATTGATGGAAAACTTTGAATAATTTTCGCGTCAGCCAAGATGCAGGAGGCGTAAAGGCTAATTAGTTTAGCTTTCAATTGGCCGACTGCTTTTTTGACTAAAAAGCTTATGGTTGTGCTTCATTTTACACAGGTGGCCTGCATTGCCGTAATTGATTTATCAAACGCAAGACCAAGATCTCAGCGGCGCTCGGAGGATTATGGTGGTAGACACCAATTACGAAAAGAAGGTACCAAGGATTCTGATGTTTCAGTGTGCTCGCTAGGGGAATATCACTTTTTATGATCCATGAGATATTTTTTCCTCCACTTGATTGATCTAAACTCATCAAGTGATCGAATACACCCCAGCTAAAACTGGAAAATATCCGAAGATATAACCCAAGTGATATTCCCTTATTTTAAAACCCTTTATCTACTACGATAAAAGAGTTCGTTAAAATTTTATTCAAGATGAGAGAGTGCCGGTACATCCCACGTGGCAAACAGTAAGGTGTTAACATTTTACCCGCGCTTCGCTCTCGGAAAACTTTTTAAATCTCGTAAGAAAAAATGTTTGCGGACAAATATCCGTGCATATTCTCGCGCCAAATAGAGGCTGTTGTTTACATGTGTTTAGGGGCCAATAAGCAATGTAAAAGGAGAGATAACAGTCCTCATAATCCTACAGAATTCTTATTCGTAAAACGATGTCTTTACTGACTGAGTGGAAGGGCCGGACGAAAAATATTTGGCTCCCTTGTGCAGATATACAAAAATTCCCAAAGTCACCATCTTTGAAAAGTCCGTAACTTAAGCTTTTACAAGCGCTCAACTAAAGAAGATTTTGGAGTCCCCTCATTTTTAACGTTCAACTGTAATTAGCTCAGTTATATTTATCTTTCTACAAGGATTATAATGACCTCTTTACATACAGCTCATGACCTCCTTAAATGGTCGCTTTTAATGTTTGTATACAAGTACACAAACATTTAAAGTGAGGTGGAAACCCATCAAATGATTGGTGTTAAGAAAAAAAGAAACCAATTCTAGTCACTTTAAGTAATCTTACTTTATCGCCTTGATCTAATCGTACTTTTTGTGGCAAACAAAAATAATTGAAATTTCTAATCTGCCTCCGTTTATAGTAAGGATTCGATCAATAATTTTACCTCTGCATAAAGGTTTTTTTCATTTTAACTACGTCGGTATTCATATGGTTTTTCGTTTTTACTTCGTTTATTGATCTAACTTCTTATTTACTTATACAATTGTATAACCATTTTACTGATTATTTGTTTATGGTTTACATTATGAAAATGTGGGGCTTTCAAAATCTTGACCATTTTAAAAGCTTTTGTCAAAGACTCATTTACTCTAGTAAAAAAAGCTGAACTTTAACTTTTTAGATTCACTTCATAAAAGAATCAACAGCGAGCATCTATATAGGCACCAATGGGAGAGGGACCAGGACCGAGCTGATCAAAAACTCCACGAATTCCAAAGGAAGAGGGACCAGGACGGAGCTGATCAAAAACCCTTCGAATTACCGTCGATGAGAGACCAAGGTCGACCTGATTCAAAACTCCATGAATTTAAAACGGTGAGAGACCAAGACAGACCTGATCAAAAGCTTCGTGAACTTGAAGTGATGACAGACCATGACCGACCTGATCAAAAACTCCATAAATTTGAGATGATTAGAGACCAAGACGGACTTGATCAAAAACTTCGTGAACTCGAAATGATGAGAGACCAAGAGCAACCTAATCTAAAATCTCAGGAAATACCGTCGATGAGAGACCAAAGTCGACCTCATCAAAATCTCCCTGAATTCGAAAAAGTGAAAGATCAAGGCCAAGCTTATAAAGAACTGTATCAGTTGGATCAAGAGTGGGACTGGCTTAACAGGCAGAAAAATGGTAAACTTGTATTTAGGCATACAGGAGTAAATTCATTATCACGTCACTCTTTTCTGATTATGAGAAGAATTCGATAGAAGACTCAAATCTATTTATCTCGAAAAAATGATATGAAAGGAGTTCCAATGAAGTATAAAGATAAACAGCCCTGTGATCTTGCCACCTGCTTGAAAGTTGTGCCAAGTCTTGTGGCATTTGACGACGAGTTCTCTTTATTTCCAGATTACATTCAGGCAGCATCTTTGGCTTCAAAGGATAATCCCGTTAGTTCTTTGCCAGATGACCCTACTAAAGAAGAACAAGGAGAAGAAGAAGAAACGGCAGCAATTCCAGCAGAAGTAAACGATGAAGAGGAAGACGAAGAGGAAGAAGAAGATGAGGAACAAGGAGAAGAGGCGGAAGTAGGAGAAGAACACAAAGAAAGCAAAAGTGAGTAAAATTTAATCTTAATAATTATTCTTGTTTTCATTTTTACGATGACAATTTTATTTCACGTTTTCTTGATTGCAGTAGTCAAAATAGGGTCGTCTGGGATAGCGTTCACTGCATTAAATTTGTTAAAAGCATCTCTTTTCTTTCTCCGTCCCAACAACTAATGGCAGACTTCGATATTTTAAAAGAGAAGGGGAGAGAGTTCAAGGTCTGACCCTGGACTGGCAACGCATTGACATCCATCTAAGATACCACTGCCCCCAGCGTGAAATCCAAGAAAAAAAGTCAATAGCGTATCATATCATTCTCCTCCATATCAACTTTTAGCTACCAGATAGGGGCTGTAGGGAAGAATCCTGAAGAGGAAGACCTATTGACCCCATTGTGGGGTCAGTAGACTATACAATTAAAATGAGTTCAATACAATAACGAAAGAGTGTTAATATTTCCCTTTATGGCGCTATAAAGCAAGTTTCTTCATGGCAACCCATAGTCATGCAACTTATCCATAAGCACTAATTAAATTAAATTCAAACTTAGACTGGGGCTTCTAAGCTAAATCATGTATTTATCATATTTAACCTTCTTTGAGTAAACAGACACAGACTTCAAGATAGCTGTAAGATATATCTACCATTTCTAAATCACGGTTTTCCTATTTCAACAGGAGTGTTGGGAAAATTGCTCGAAAATATATTGAAAGAAGGTAAGATCTAAGATACATTAATCATTGCGCGCTCAATAATTTTATTAGATTTTTTAAACTAAAATCGAGAAAAGGGAAGGTACGTGCACTTTACTTAAGATTACAAAAGGCCTTTTATATCTTTTCTGATAAAGGTCCATCTGAAGTTTTTAAGAGTCCATATTTCCTCACTTGACCCGAAATGTTAAGGAAATCTAAGGCCCTCACCACTACATCTTTTCAGGCCGTTACTAGGGAATATTTAGATGGCTGTAACTCGACCTTATTCTGTTGTTACTTGGCTTACTAAATTTTTCCTGATTGAGCCCGAAATTAATAAATAAACGATAAAAAAAGAATTAAAACAGCAACAAATATCCTTTTAATTGAAAAAACCCCAGTGTCGCCTTTACCAAGTTATAAAAGCTGGGAGATGGTGGTGTGGACCCCTAAAAAGGTTATGTTCTGACAAACCAAAGTTACTACGGTAAAATTTTTTAATAACTTCTTTCTAAGAAGTCTGTGCAAACTTCTCTCAAGAAACATCGGATACTGATTCAAAGAATCTTTTTAGCACACTCTTGTGTTTCAAAGATAAAGAAAGACACTACTCTGACTAACCTCCTTGTCTAAACAAATGCAGCATTAAATATGGCCATTAGGATACATTCTAAAGCACTATTCCCTACTTCTACAGCAGCCAAAAGAAGAAAAGGCGAAAGGTTGATTATCAAGATCAAAAAAGGTTAGAACTAAGGCACATTAATTGCTGTTTAATTGAAATTGTTATTTGCTCAAGATCAGAAATTCGCAAAGATGGGTCTGTTTAATTGAATTGAAAAAGGCCCTAAAAGGTTACGTGAATTTTCATCCAGCTTCGATTGTAATGTGATGTACATTTCACGCGATCCAAGTTCTAATGTTTCGGCGGTCAGACGGACGTTGACTACCCATCGTCATAACTGAAAATAGTTTATGATATTTAAAGCATAGTAAATAAGCTCCCACAGCATCGTTGCAATTGTAATTGTGATTGTTTCATCATTAATGAAACAATTGCTATATTCGAGATTGGTTACAGCTAACCTACATCGAAAGCGTGCTCATGGAATGGTTAGTATATACTGAAACAGTGGATAACGTTGAAAGCGCGCTCTGATTGGTTACTCAAACTCCGAATATCCTTTGCTATTCATCTCCAAGCAAATCGTGCGGGACTAAATGCGCTAAAATCACCATTTAGTGCTATGTTATTTCACCGTTTCAGTATTATAATAAAACAACTATTCACCTCAGAATCAGCGACTAGCATAAGATATATAACGCGCCACTCACGGCTTGGTAAATACTAGCAGCCTCCACTTCAGTGAATAGTTGTTAAATGATTAACTAATAATAAATACAAATTGATTTTGTCCAAACAAATTCCTGTCAAGAAGCACTGAATCCTTATTCATGGGAAACCCTCTCGCGCACAATTGTTATTATGAGATAGAACCGGTGTCTACCATGATAACATATGTTTGTACGGACAAATGCGAACTTGAAGCTGATTGTAAGATATATTTACATTTCCTAACTCATGGTTCCCTTATTCAACAGAAAGCAAAACGTTTATAGTCAAAGGAATATTGATAATAGAACTCAAAGAAGGTAGGAAATATGGTAGAATAATTGCTTTTCACTTAAAAGTTATGAAAGATATCTAAAAGCTCTTCAATGACAAGAGTAGGGGAAAATGGTCAAAGAGAACGAAAATGCAGGGCTTCATAAGAACTGACAACTCCTCTTCCCCCATTAGTTTTTTACCCTCAATTGTTTTACTACAAAGGGGCCAAGTGATAGAGAAACAAGCTTCAACAGGGCGATCAAAATGCGCAAAGCCACTCACTCAGAAATAATGAAACTATTGTTAGGGCAACAAGAAGAGGAAGAGGAAGAAGGAGAAGAAGAAGCGTCAGCTGAAGAAGAAGCACCAACTGAAGAAGTAGAAGGATCAGCTGAAGAAGAAGAAGAGACATCAGCTGTGGAAAAAGAAGAAGCATCAGCTGAAGAAGAGGGATCAGCTGAAGGAGAAGAAGAGGCGTCAGCTGAAGAAGAAGCACCAACTGAA